TCCTATGAGGTAGGTATGGTAGTTATTTCCATTTGCTAAATGAGAAAAGCACCTGACGTCACATAGCTAGCAAATGGCAAAACAGAGATTTGAACCAGATATTCAGACTCTAAAGCCTGCATTCTTAACTCTTAAGTGCATCAAATAGGGGGTCATGTAAAAAAAATTAATGCTTAGTTGAAGCCTTGGAGGAAGGATTCTAATACTGTCTAGGAGTTGAATAGATCCCTAACCTCAGTTCTGATCATCCAAACAGAATAAAGGCTTTTATGAGATAACTGAATGTAAATAAGCTAATTGCTTAACAGGAACTTAGTACAATTTCCCTGAGTTAGTTTACCTATGTTAAGCCAACCTGGATTATAATACCACATTCATAGAGAATTTTGAAGTAATAGTTTACTAATTTCCAATTTAACAACTGCTAAGTCCTATTCACATAAACCTGGAAAAATTTACACTTCCCTTCAAAACCTAGTGTTCCTAATACAAACATGTCCTTACCTAATAAAATAAGAGCTAACTATAGCAAGTAAGCTCAAACTATTGTAAGCAGTGTTCAATTAATTCAGCTGCCATCAGCATACCTCTCCCTTCACAAGCATTTTAGTGGTCGAGCCTCAGGCCATCTTGAAGTTAGGAAGATGCAGAAGGGAGAATCGAAAGGAATTTAATTTGTTGAACTTCTTACATTGGTGGGTGGCGAGAAGCTTCCAAGCTAAATTTACATGCCAGTCAATCTCAATTTTCACCCCCATGCTACAGATTAATGGAGAGTTCATTTTCCCATTAAAATCATAACATTACCAACCAAAGAAAGGTCTTGTATGTGTATAACTGGGTGAGTGTGAGAAATGACATCATTAACATGAAAGAGGTCAAGTCCTCAAAGGGTTAACAACCAGAGACAGGAATTTGGCTGGAATCCAGCGGGATCTGGAACACAAGTAACCTTCTTTAAATCAACACATAAGAAATTATGGGCTGGATTTGACCACTGGAGGGCATCCTAACCATGCTCAACTAGGAGGAACTCAGTTAAAAATGATCTCCAGAATAATCCCCATGCTGTGCATTCTACAGTTCAACACTTTACTGCACTGAAAGTAAACTTTAAAAAGTGAATTTTCCCGTTTGCCAAAGGGAAAGAGATTTTTCTTTCCTCCCTCCCTTTTCTTAAAGCATTTCTTTGAAAAACCTATTATTTTTAATTCCTTCCTCGGTTACTTTGGTATGTATGCAAATCTTTTAAAAGGCTAAATAAACTAGCTCTAGTCACAGGTAATACCCAGAAACTTTTTTCTGAAGGGCCTAGAAGCCATCTCTTTTAAATGGAAACATAAAGGAAGACAGCACCCCAACTCCACCCTGGGAGATTACATAACTATCTGCTTAGAAATGAGAGATTTTCTATTTTTCCTTCAGATAAAGGTAACTCACTGGCACAGATGGCCACCGCAATTACTAGGTGAATTTAGGGTGAACTAACTATAAAAGCACATAGAGCAGATGGTGCCATCAGGTCTTCAGACAAGTGGACGATTACCGTTACTCGAGATTGTGTAATGTACTGTAAATGATGGGATTTTTGCCTTTGTAACTTTACTAGCATATTAGCTGTGATGCATCCCATTCTGGGTTAATGTTTATTCAATAATAGAACTATTTTCTTTCCTTCTACATTTGTATAAACATTTTCTAGGTTGGCAGGAGGTTTTAAACTTTCCCCACATAACCATGAAGAACAGGCTACACTTTCTGCTGCCACTTTTTTCCCCCTCTATAACAGGAAAAAATATTCCTCCCTGACAAAAGCTTTTTAGAGACTTAGCTCATTCTTGTTGTCTGAGTGTTAGATCCTTCTTTATCATTGCTTCTGTGACACTTTTACTTGGATTATATCAAAGACATTTTATTCAAAACTGAATTCATGCTCTTCCTCCAGAATTTCCTTCTCAGATGCACAAGCGAGAAAAGGAAGAATTAGCCCCGACACCTCGCTTTCCCTTCTCATCCCAGAGTGAACCTCTTACCAAGCTCCAGTGATCATACCTCCTAAATAGCCCTCACATTTATCAACTTCCGCCTCTACTAAGGAACCACAGTGATCTTTAATACACACAGATCTGCTGGTGCTACTCCTATGACTGAAATTCAATGGTTTCTCACCATTCTTAAGATAAGCCCCAAATCGTTGGCATGCATGAGACCTGCATGGTCTGACTCTGGCTTACCTCTCCAACTTCATCTCCCAGACTTTCTCCCTCTGTCTTCTAGCCCCAACTGGGAGCTTAAGTTCCATAAGGATAGAGACCATGCCTATAATGCTGATGCTATATTCCTAGAACTGTGACTAGCACATAGTAGATGATAAATAAATGTTGAAGAGTAATGTTATAAAACAATTGTAGCATCTGACATGGAAGGCAAATGAAACACTAAATTAATTATGCATGGTGGAAGGAAAGAGTGTCTTTATACATGTTTGTATCCTAGGTGACTAACATAGGGCTCGGACCATAGTGGGGCTAAAAAATGTTTGTTAAATCATTTTGCAAACCAGAGACAAATATGATGAAATACAATATTGGCATTCTATGTCTATTAGCTTTGCAGTGCAAATTATCAATGCCAGTTAAGTCTCACATTTAGGTATTTATCCCTCCTCTAATTCCCAGTTCTTATCCTGTGGACAACCAGAGAGTCCAACCACATGTTTGAAGGAGGCTGAACTCCAAGACAGAGCTGGTAAATAGATGTGGTCTGTGGAGTTGATTATTTGCTCTGAGAAGCAAATAAACCAAGACTGGAGAGCAGCATTGTTCTCAGGACAAGATCTCTGCCTCTATTTTGTATCTGACTTTGTGACATTCTCCACCCTTTGGCCACACAGGTCTTTCAATAACACAAGTACAAGTCCCCCCTCTTCCTAAGGCTTCACCCTTGTCCCTTCTTCTCCCTTGCAGCTCTCCACCCTTTTCTTTTTTTTTTTTAATTTTTTTTATATCTTTATTGATTTCAGAGAGAGGAAGGGAGAGGGAGAGAGAGAGACAGAAACATCAATGATGAGAGAGTCATTGATCG